CCCCCCCCCGAGGGTGGCCCCAAGACCAGCCCCGGGGCCGAGGGTTCCGGCGGCACATGATCCGGCCCGGCCCCCGCCGGCTCCAGCCCGGACCCCACCAGCTCCAGCCCAACCCCAGGCTCTTCCCTCGCCCCAGCTGCTGTTTTAAGGGAAAACTGAATTTTACAAACAAATAAGTGGGGATTTCTTACATTCTTTTTCCCCAAACCCCGTTTGACAATCCTCCTCACAATCCCAGCCACCCCCACCCCCACCCCAAGCCAGTACAGAACCCTTGGTTGTCGTTGGAAAAAATGGGCATGTATGAATAGCACCATTTTCTGCTACAGACTAGAGATGATAAAGATTAACCGTGTGGGTGTGTGCCTGTGTGTGTATACACACAGACACACATATACCTATACACATCAATATCTGTTTTGAATTAAAAGACAGAATTAGGCTCCATTCTGTTAAAAAATATAGGAAGACATTAACTCTGTATGTGCATATGTATACACCTGTTTCATTGTTGTAACAATGTTAGTTTTTAATATTACTTCAAAATAAGTTAAAATGTTATATGAATACACTACCTGGACTGGTATTGTTCTGATATGTTAGTGAATTATTGTTGTTCTCTTTCAACATTTGTAGTTCGCTCTGGTCTTAACTATTCAGAACTAAAAGATTCAATAAGTTACTCTGTGTAGCATCTCTTATTGAGCCTGACAGTAACTCAGTTAACTGGAAAAAAGAAATCTCAATTCTCCTTATAATTACCTCTATAAAACAACATTTGGAAGGATGGGAAGATGCATGTGACACTTGCTAGGTGTCACCATCATGTTTTCAAGTTTTAGCTTTGAAATTCTGAATTTGTCGGAAGAAAATCCATGCAATGAGTTACTTGGCACACACTTGTGGTTTCCATAGGGGAGCATGATATGAGTATGTGCCTCACTACCTCAGCATTTGGAAGTAATGCTTTAACGTCAAGCAGAATTGGTACATTACTCAGGTGTTGGACTGTAGTCATTTATGACTACTTTATTCCTAGGGCCTTTTGCATGTAGAAAAGAAAATTTTAATAATAGTATGTTTATACCTGAGATTATAATTGTCATACTATCTTTGCTGGCATTATCAGCATTTTAATGTGAGTTGATGCTTTTCCTTGATCGAATGAGTCGTCTTCATATTTACTTTTTCTCTTTATTAGATATGATGCATTCAAATTTGGCTGTACCTCTCTCAGAGTGCCTCCTGACTTACTTTACCAGATTAGGCATGATATCACGGTGTCACCCAGTGGAGTAGCTTTTGTCAAGGTAATGATATTAGTGCTTTGTGACAGGCATTTTCACTTTCTGTTGGTTGAGTAGCTTAAGATCAATTTGATATTGTAGTTTATATTTTGCTGTATTAAGAGCAGACAGAACGGGGGAGGTTCAGTCTCATTTCCCAGTGTTCTTTTACATTTGTCAGAGTGCTGAACTTCTGGCAGTTCAGGAAATAAAATGTCACCTTCATGCTTTCATTTACACTGAAGGCTTATTTCATCTATAATTAAACTGTATTTTACTTGCGCAATTTGGGGATCAAACAATAATTATCTGTGTGTAGCGCTTCATTCTTCTCCTGCCTGTGTGGCAGAGTGTTTTCCTAGAAAAAGAGTCACGGATGAAATTCCCTGTTGTTATCATTTTATGTTATGTGTACTGCTGACTGATTTGTAATGAATTAATAAATACGGCCTGGGGCTTTTGCAAATAATTGGCCAATCACCAGCATACATATATTTAATGTAAAAGAAAAACTTTACAGAAAATATATTTGCAGAATAAAAAAAAAAAAAAAAACACCCACACCAAACATCTTGAGAATTAACAGTTAAATACTGAAGCCCCATTTTAGGTAGTAGAGTAATCTAAATAGTGCATTAGCAAGGCTGATGAAAGCAAAGAACAAAAAGCTATTTACCCTGCCCTTTGGAGCTTTGCTTATATTCTAGGTTGCTTGTAGTATTTGTGGGAAGAGCCAAACTGTTGGTGCCTAGGGCATCTTGCTAACTAATTTGTCTTCTTAAAAGTGATTACCTAACAGTTCTGGGTTTTGCTTTTACTCTTGCCTGTTTAGGTTGGGCTTTTAATGTAATTTTTTCTCTTTGTTTCCTTTATGGCAGCCTTCAGTAAGAAAGGGTGTGCTGCCAAGAATGCTGGAAGAGATCTTGAAGACTAGGATAATGGTGAAACAGTCAATGAAGGCTTATAAGCATGACAAGGCCATCACTCGAATGCTTGAGGCTCGTCAGCTGGGTCTTAAATTTATAGCTAATTTTACATTTGGTTATACTGCTGCTAGTTTTTCTGGAAGAATGCCATGCACTGAGGTAAGGCTTGCAGATAAAAAATGCAAAACAGACATTATTAATAAAGTATAGTCAGATAACACAGTGTTATTACTTGGAACATACTTAATGTCTTCATAAAAGCTGGTTTTATTTGTAGTGCTGAAAATCAGCAACTGGGGATTTATTTATGATCCTTTTTTTTTAAAAAAAAGAGTATTATTTTTCTTCTTCCCATAAAAGACCATTTGAAGTTGGCATTTCTGTAGAGCCCTCTCCAAAGGTAGATTGGATTACGGTTCTAATAGTGGAAATAAAATAAAGCATTGTAGCTGTTTCATAGTTTTCATAAAAGGAGGAATTAGCAGAATCCAAAAACTAGAGGAAATTATCTTAAGCAATTTTGTCTTGTTCCTTACACTTTCAATGTGCCTGAAGAAGTTTAACCCCATTTTTCCTTTATTCTAAGTCTTTATAGTTTTTGATCGCTCTGCCTTTAACTCTCGCTATTTTGGGGTAATGTAAGCAACCTTTTTATTTGTTATATGCATTTAAACCATGAAATATATTGTCTCAGTATAGTGATTTTCATAAATAGATCAAGCAAGGTTAGACTATGTTTACCAAGAGGTAATTTGGTTTAGCAGTATTTGATTTTGCAGCAGAATAAAGGTTTTCAATTTAACTTGGCAGCTTGGGGACAGCATTGTCCACAAAGCCAGAGAAACGCTGGAACGTGCCATAAAACTGGTGAACGATACAAAGAAGTGGGGTGCCCACGTGGTGTACGGTGATACTGACAGGTAACCAACGCCCTGCTTCTCACAGGGTCTGAAAACCATAGTAGCTCTACATAGATCTATTTGTCTTTAGTCTCAGCAAGGGGAATTTATGATACTGCAGAGAGTATGTGGGCTCTTTGGGATGTTTGTTAAGTTTTAAGTATCAAAAGTGGCTACAGTTGAGAAGCGGCCACCAGAGCATACAAAGACATGAGTAGGCTGCCTGAAATACGTCCTATAAATATATCCCCTTTTTTAGTCACTCTTTCATCTAAATAGTACCCATGCTCTAGATGTATCCATCTCTGGGGCTAGACTTGGGTAACTTTTCAGCTAGGGGTAAACAAGCTCGTCTGGCTGTCCGTCCTTAAGAGCTTGTGAATCCAGTGGCTGATTTAAGCCAGATTTAACAAAATACTTGAAAGTTCAAAGATTCATTCCCAGTAGTTTCACAAAAAAAAAAAATTGTTGGAGAAAGGAAGTAAAATCCCGTTCCTGCCCATAGTGGAAAAAAGGACATACCCAGAGGCCTTCACAGTACTCTCCTGCGAACTCAAGTTTTGCAGTGCCTGGGAGCAGTCACGTTCCCTGCCTCACCAGAGGGTCACAGTGTTCCTCACGTGCCTCTGGCACTCCTGATCTCATACTGAACACTGATGTTACTCATATTTTTGGCTTTTCTAGCTGAAAGAAGGGAACAGAATTGATAAGAACATTCCTGCCTTGCCAGCAGGAGACTATAGCTTATAAGTTTCAGGAACTATGTTGAACACATTTGTGCTTATTTCCTGTGTCTGATTTCTTGTAGCATGTTTGTACTCTTGAAAGGAGCCACGAAGGAGCAGTCTTTTAAGATTGGTCAAGAAATTGCTGAAGCTGTAACAGCAACAAACCCCAAACCTGTTAAACTGAAGTTTGAAAAGGTAAAATATTTTGTTTCGCGTGTGCTGGCAGAAAACATTACACACACAGACACACACACACACAAAATAAAAAGTGAAGCTAGAAGATTTTTTATGGCACTAACATAGCGTAAGGATATGCAACAGTCGTTTGCTTTACTGTTTCTGTGGGTATATTGCAAGCTCCTCAGTGCCTCAGGGGCCTTGGCAGAGGAGCACTGCAGCATCAACAACAAAAAGAAATATTCCTACTTTCACATCAGGTTACCTGGTGGCCTGTTAAGCTGGCAGCACCAGGAAATGTGAAATTTCTGTCCCATCAGTTTTTGGCAGTGTCTCCCTTGGTTTTGTATTATATATGTACAATCAAACCAGTGTGTGCAACTTGGTAGAGAAAATGTACACCACCCCCTGAAGTGATTCCAGCCCATAATTACATGCCTGATATTTATTCTTCAGCCAGCCGTTGCTCACCTGAGGATATGTCTGTGTGATACATATAGGAATAAAATGAAAAAATCATAAAAGTCCATTCAGTAGGCTTATGGAAGAACTATTAAAGACAAAAAGCCTTTTATAGAAGAGCAAGGCAATGCAATACTAATTTTGGTGAAAGGCTATCACTGAAAAGTCATTACTAATCAAGTCAGGTGCTCCAAGTATCCAGGAAGATGTGGTGTTATCCTAGTAATACTGGAAAGAAATTGTTCCCCATTCTTTATTTTAAAACTGGTCAAAGAATACTGACACAATCAAGAATTAAATAAGAGGTTGGAGAAAACAAGCAAAAGAGACTATGCCCCTAAAAAGTCATTTGTGGAGGAAACTGTTCTCCAAGCACAGGCATTTTAAAATCACGTTTTCCCCAAATCAAGATGCTAACTGGTTTTAGGCACCTCATCATTAGATGAAGTCTGAAAATGCTGGAAGTTGAAAGCCACTACTTTTGCTGGGAAAGTTTTCTGTTCTGATGTTTAAAGTGAAGTTGTTTTCTTTTTAAGAAAGAGAGATAATACAGTTACTTAAAAAAATGCTGACAGGTGCAATCCAGAAAAGCAAGGGTACTCAAAACAGAATAATACTGTGTGTCGTTTTTCATCTGAGCCTCAGGTTGCTTAGTCTTTACAGCTAGGTGAAATACAAAGTGAACACCACTGAATTCCAAACTTCCTCAGCCATCCTTTAGTAATCATTCCATCTAGTTTATTGTTTGTGGTTATTTAAAAGGGAGGTTGGGGGGTGGGGCGAACCACAACAACAAAGCAAAGTATTCCTTAGGAAACCTCTATGTTCAGAGCCACTTTATAATCCCAACACATGCCAGACTGGACTATCTTCTTTCTGAATTCCAGGTCTACTTGCCATGTGTCTTGCAAACTAAAAAGAGGTATGTGGGTTACATGTATGAAACACTGGACCAGAAGGACCCAGTATTTGATGCAAAAGGCATAGAGACAGTCCGAAGGGACTCCTGTCCTGCTGTTTCCAAGGTAAAATACTCATGCATTTCTTCATGAATAAAATTGGAATGTTCTACTATTTCATTGCAGATTTGTCCTTTCTCAGAGTTCCTAGTCCTTGTGAGTTGTTGGAGATTTCATGTTTTTCTGGTATGAACCATTTGAAAGCTAAATTGAAGATCTTGCACAGCATTACAAGGACTTGCACTTTCCATCTTAACTGCTATCTTTTAGCCCCTAAAAGCCCCATAAAAAGCCCTCAGCCCCATGTAAGCTTTCTTCTCAAGACCATTCTTGATCCAGTTCACTTCACATGGAAGTATTACTCAAAGATGAGTGAGGCACACTGATGTCTGCTAAACAGCTCATTTACATAAATCTAGTTCAGCTAAGAATTCATTTATAATAAACTTCCTTTCCTGTTTATTTTAAGCTGTGTATTGGAGGGTTAAAAAGATTCTTGTTCTTAACCAAGTCAAGATACATTTACACCAGTAAGAAAAGTAACCACTTAGGAGGATTTGCTTCTGTTTTTCATCACAATTCTTTTGTTTGCTGAGGTGGTCAGAAAGTCGTGGCAAAGTATTTTGGATGACAGGAAAAAAACATCTTCTCTCATACTCTGGAAAACCTCTGTAATTGTGGAAACACTCTTAGTGCCAGAGTATGGATATTGTAATGGCACTTGTGTCAGACTGAGGAAACAGTTGTCCAGTAATGTGTTTAGGAATGTGTTTGAGTGGAAGAGAATGCAACTTGTTGTCATATGAACTGGTACTTTTCCTAAGCAGTGCATTAATATTTCCATATAATTTACTGAATTCTTTGGAATGGTTGGGGTTTTTTTTTTGTTTGGGTTTTTGTTTGTGGGTTTTGTTTTGTTTTTTAGTTAAACATATGTGGTTTTTTCACCTTTCTCCTTCGTTTTCAAAGATACTTGAGTGTTCTATCAAGCTGCTATTTGAAACACGGGATATCAGCCAGATCAAGCAGTACGTTCAGAACCAATGCATGAAGTTGCTGGAGGGAAAAGCCAGCATGCAGGACTTCATCTTTGCAAAAGAGTACAGAGGGAGCTCAGCTTACAGACCGGGGTCCTGCGTGCCAGCCCTGGAGATCACCAGGTAACAAGATTAGGAAATGCTAATTGTGCACACTTTTTCTCTTGACCTTTGTCCTGCCAAGTTGTAGGTAGCAATGAGATTGCCTCCTTCAGATACTGTTGCAGCAATTGGCTCTGACTTTCTTCTCTGTGTGAGGGGAGAGGAGGCGTCAGATAGGCCTGGAAAGAGTCACACCTGTCCAAGAGTAAAAAAAATCTCTTGTCAGGAGGCTTTAACAGTGTGTTCACTGCTGTTACTTAGGGTTTGGGTTTTGTACAAGGGCTTCACTCTCCAAGATTGCCCATCCCTCACTGATAATAGGTATGTTAAAAATTCTAACAGCGATGTTTCTCGGTGCTGTGAAATACATTACCCGGCATAATTTTTAATTTTTTTACAAGTATGTTACTTAATGTTAATATTTCATCCTGTTGATACTGTTTATAAGTAACAGAATCATTTTGGTTGGAAAAGACCTTGTAAGATCAATGAGTGGAATGATATCGAGCTCCAGATAACATGAGCTGGCACCTTTTGCCACATTGCTTAATACCAAAGGTCTTCAAAGTAGGCCATGCTTTTTAAACAAAATAAAATTCAAGTCCTGGATTGATACCTGCTTCAAATTGAATTCTCCTTTGCTTTCTGGGTATTTGAGCTCTTTTTAAGTACCCTGGTAGCTCCTCATTAAAAGGTTTCTTTGAGGAAGGGGTAGGTAGAAAGAGCCTGCATGCGAAGTCAAGTGACCTGGAACGGAACGTACCCTTAGGGCTCGTGTTCCAAGTTCTAAAATTTGGGTCTGATCATGGGACAAATTAAAAATGAAACAACCTGGTCCTGCGCTCCCTAATTGGCACCAGCTCTGGTCGCCTGGAGAGCTACTGGTGTGCTGAGGTGGGGAGCCTGCAGGCGAATGGCGCGGCTGTCGGGCTGCGTGCGGATGGGTGACGCGGGCCGTTCCCACACAGGAGGATGCTGGCCCACGACCGCCGCTCCGAGCCGCGGGTTGGGGCACGGGTGGGTGCCCTACGTCATCGTGTGCGGCACACCCGGGCTGCCCCTGATACAGCTGGTGAGGCGGCCCATCGAGCTCCTGCAGGACCCCAGCCTCAGGCTGAACGCCATCTACTACATCACCAAGCAGATCCTGCCTCCGCTCGCCAGGGTGTTCTCCCTTATTGGCATCGACGTCTTCAGCTGGTATCATGAGCTGCCACGGGTGAGTGTGCGGGGACAGGCAGGTGGCAGGGGCAGTGTTCGGTTTCAGCGGGACTTGTAATGGCACGAGGCTTCTACCAGGCAGCAGCAAAGATTATTTTACAAGGCGTTGTTTGATGTCCAGACATGCAGACCCGATCCTTAGATCTTCTGTGGGTTTTCCCACTGAGTTAATCACTTTTCTCAGCCAGCCTTTCTGTGCAGGGCTGATCACACTGTCATCTTCTATTTTCTGATCCCTTCCGCAGTTTAAAAGAGTGTTTTGCTACAACTGTGTTTTTAGCAGTACTTGTATATGCATCTGCTTGGCTCTACCACCTTTTAAATCTCTCTGTACTAGGTGCTGAAATTCCTGTTTTTCTAATATGTTCTGAGAATCTTTCCTTTCTATAGAAAGGTGGTAATACCCCAGCAGCAGGAAGACAGGAGGCAGAATTTGAGATGAGGCATTTAGGGTGTGACTGGGGGTTTCTCTGGTTCCTGTTTCTCTGTTGTGTTGAGATTCTCTGTGAATGAGGTGTGGGTGGGCTTTGTTCAGTGTGTCACTTCAGGGCAAGTGCCGCGCTCTTCAGCACAATGTGATCCATGACAGTAGTTTGTGTATGAACCCTGCCACACTCCTTACAAAAATGAGCAGGCTATGTAGTCTAGGAGTAAGGCAAGCTGCTCTCTTGGAAGTTGATCACCTCATGATTATGGTTTTTTTAACAGATCCAAAAAGCTGCCTCGACTGCCCACGGAGAGCTAGAAGGACACAAAGGCACAATCTCCCAGTATTTCACGACATTACACTGTCCCGTGTGTGATGAACTGACCCAGTATGGGATCTGTAACAAATGCAGAAGCCAGCCACAGCATGTGGCAGTGATCCTCAACCAAGAAATCCGAGAGCTGGAGCGTAAGCAAGAACAGCTGGTCAAGGTACGAGTGATGCCTTGTCAGAGGTCTGCTAGCCAGAGCCGCGGGACATTCCGGAGCGGCGTGTCACTGAGCACCCCCCGCAGGTGCACAGAGCGTCCGCGCGCTCCGGCTGCTACACGCGCCTGAGCTCCTCTGCTGCTCCCACTGCAGCAGCTCTTATTCTCCTGAGCTCTGCGTAACACTGAAGGCAAAGGGGGCGAGCAGAACAGAAGGGGCTTTTCTCCTGTTTTAAGAGTATCTTACCTGGCTCATAGGTGCCTTTTTTTAATGGCAGTGACAGAGGGTTGTAAAATTATGACAGAGTCATCTTTTTTTTTGGCGTTAAAATTACAGATGATGTTCTAGTAACAAAAACATTTGTCCCAGAATATTAATTTCTTTTTATGTATAACATCAACATGGTTTAGCTTGGGGGGTTTTCTTGTTTCCTTTTCTCTCAATGGGAATTTTCCGAGCTCTTTTTTTAACCCTTGCACTAGAAGTCAATTAAGAGGGTAGCTGTCCGTGCTCACGGGTGTATGACAACCAAGCACAGAGCCTCCCCTTGCAGAAACAAATGCACAGCCTCACCTGATTGTCTTACTATTGTATTTTATAATTAATAAATACCTTCATCAAAATATATTTTTAGCACTAGCACGTGAACTGTTTTAAAGGCTTGTCTGAATTGCAGGGATATAAACGTGCCCCCAGTCCTGGCGCTGATTTGGTAGGTTCCCATGGGGCTGTGTTGCTCAAAAACCTTTATAATCCACTGTTCATAAATATTGCATAGATTTGGACTTCTGTTTCTTGCTGTGTTTTCAATACGTGCTCCAGCCTGCATTGTAAATGGCAGTAAAGGAAGGTGATTTGTGTTCTGCAGTTCCCCTGCGCTGCTCTGAACCTCTTAGACTGCTTCTGTTCTGCAATAAATGAGAACGTGGCAGGTTGGTCCAGCCCCACAGAAGGATCCAGCAGGTTTGATCAGAACGTTCTCTTGTCCCTGCAGCAGGTCCACAAGGCCTGGGATCCCATTCCAGTTAGCATTTGATGGCTCAGAGCATCTGTCTTCTGTTAATATGAAGATGTGTGTGTCCTTCACAGCTTAAATTCTTGGCCCTCCTAGAGTATAAACATGCTGGAGCCAGCAGAAGACTGATATAAAACTGAACTGTGCACTATTTTAAAACGCAATTTAAAAGTACATGCCATAAATTAAGGCCAAGGACTTCTCCCCTTTACACAAACTGAACTAAGAAGGTCTCGTGTGCTTTGGACTTGGCAGTGCTGGGTTATCAGTTAGACTTGATGATCTCAAAGATCTTTTCCAACCTGAACAATTCTGATTCTATGGGCACCGTTTAGTTTGATCCCTTGCATTCAAACCAGCCACAGCCTTTTTCAAAAGAACTAGGGCTGGCTTTTTTCTGAGGTTCTTCTAGTGGTTATAAACCTGGAACAAACCCTTTAAATCTGATCCTTTTGGTCGCAGCTGCTGCTCCAAGGACCAGTGTCCTCTGAGGTGCCACGTGTGGGACTCGGCTAAGAGGGGCTGCTCCTCTCAGCTACTGTCAGTTTGAGCATCTGGTCTGTGGGGATTCAGTGCTGATATGGGCCAGGCTGACAGGGTTGCTGGTGCCCATATAATTTTAACATGGAAAGAAACGAATTTAAAAGCGCAGGATACGATTTTGACTTGTTGTTCAAACTATGCAAATGGAAGGGTAACACTTTAACATTCTGATGTTACAAAACACCAGTGTGGCTGGAAGCAAATGTCTGAGTTTTTGCAAAAATGTGTCAGAGGTGGCAGGTACTAGAAAGGATTAAAATAAAAATTCAAAGCAGGGGCCTGTAGTTCACTGAAGGAAGGTGGCTGCCCTTGGAGAAACGGTGCCTGCTGCTATTTTATTTCATCAGGTATCTCATGTTAGAAGTACTCAGCAGCAGCATTAACCATATTAGCGAGTAGCTCCATGAATCAGGGATGCAGCAGGACCCGCATGCCTTGTGTATTTCGGCCTTGGGACTGATTGACCCTGACTCAGAAGGTAAAATGCCAATTGAAGCTTATCTAGAGAAGTTAACTGCAGAGTAACAGTTTTGGGTTTCTTATCCCCAACAGCACTGAGGACTTAGTAGTCTCAAGTTTTTGGCCTGGCTTGGGTTAAGTTTAAAATAATCTGTTTTGCTTTTTCACATGTCACCTAGATATGCAAGAACTGTACAGGCTGCTTTGATCGACAGATTCAGTGTGTCTCCCTCAACTGCCCCGTGCTCTTCAAGCTCTCCAGAGTACGCAGAGAACTGTCAAAGGCGCCCTACCTTCGCCAGCTGCTTGACCAGTTTTAAATGATCTGTGTTACAGGATTCCAGGTGCTATTTTTTTTTTTTCTTCAGTGTTTACCACACTAAGACTATTGTGCATGGTGCTTTTTCAATTCTCATCTAGTCCAGGATTTCCATTTTAACCGTTGGTTTTGTTATCTGAAGAATAATGAACGCTTATCCTAACTAAATTAATAAAAACCAACCACATTTGTTTATCTACAAATAGCTCACTTTTTAAGATGTACAAATTTCTTCTTTCTTTCATGTTTCTAACATACTGTTTTATAATGCTGATGTTGGAATAGCTCTGTGTGTAACATCCTGTAAATCCATTTCAAAGTAGAAGTCAAGTTTACTTCCTGGAGGAAGGAGCACTGAAAACCTCTTGAAACGATAAAACCATTAGTGTGTGTTCTTGAACTGTCAGTATCAAGACGTGTTACTTATATATTACCCATTCACTTTATAATTTTGTCTGCGAAATATTTTGTAAATACACTTTTTTACTTTTCAAACAACTGAGTAAAATAATGTGCAATGACTTTTATACAGATAATTTTAAAGTCGGTTGGTATATCTCCTCCTAAGTTTTGCTTGATTCCAAGTAGATCGTTACTTTGATCAGACTGTGCAAGCAGTAGTACCATGTGTAGCATTTTGAAACATTATTTTCTAAAAATTGCTGTCTTGCTTTAGCTATTAATGGGGCATTGTGAGGAATTGTGCAAAGACATTTTTGTTACAAACCTGTGGGACTGTTGCAATACTTTAAATATAAAATTTTATTCCATTTTTGCTTGTTTTGTATAGACATTTCTATTGCTTCTAAATATGCTTAAAATATTTTCTTTCCTTATGTACTGTACAGTTAAATCTTATTTGCCACCATCTTGACAAAATGTGTATTTAGAATATTTGTATAACTGTATAAAATGGAAAAGGAATTATGTGGTCAGTGCATTGTTTTCTAAACTGGAAATCATTTTGTTTTAGAAGTTAATAATGGAAACCATATTAAAGTTGAATAAAATGATATGGTAAAAACTACATATATACTTTTTCTTACGTTTACCCTCAACCGCAGACAACTTTGTTTCCCTTGTTTGCCACACAAAACAAATACTCATGTAAACGAGGCCCAATTGTGGATTCTTACCTCTGATCAAGCAGTTTCCAGCTTAAGCTTTGGGATCTAAAACCTCAGTATCAGTTCTTGGAGAAACATTTCCAGTTTTCCATTAGTCAAAACGGGAGTAAGTTTTAAATTTAGAAGTCCAGAGTAGCTTTGAAAAATAGAACAAAATTTTATTTACATCAAGGAACCTGAGTGCCTTCTCCAGTTAAGAATTTATTACATTCAAGATACAAGTCAGTCATTTCAATTTCACATTATACAGTACAACGTAAACCCACACCAGGCAGAACAAAAAATTATAAACTATATAATAGAACATCCACAGATTGCGATGCGCTTTTACGCAAAGTAACTTAAAAAAAATAAAAATCAAGGCATAAAAACTTTGCCTGCTCTTGCATTCTAGTGTTTGCCATGTACAGAACGAAAGTGCAAACGCCAGGCCCGACATGTCGGTGCTGGCAGCACAGCCCAGGGCCTGGCAGCGCTTCTGCAATCAGTAAAACCCTTAAGTGACACGGAACTGCAAGGGGTTACCTTGGACACCACAGCACGTGCTCACCTGCAACTCTGTCCTGGCTTCATGGACAACAGCAGGATTCTTACTAAATCCCAACAGCTAACCCATGGACCACAGTGCCTGTCCTCAACACAGAGATGACTTCAAGTGTAAGGCAGGCAATGGTGAAGTGACAGTTCACTTCAACCAAGTTCAAACCATAACATCTAAGTTTCAAGTGCTTAAGCTTTCTGGAGGATCTGTAACTTAAAAGGCACTGTATATAGATCCTCACTTTAACTGTATATGCCAGGAAGCTATTTACTTTGGAAGAAAAATTAAACATGTAAAAACTAACATTCATTGTCTGTTAAAAATAAGCCTCGAGGAACACCAAAATCCCAAGAACTAGAAAAGCTACAGCCTTGAACATCAAGGGTGTCTAGAACTGCTGTGAGTTGGACTCATCATTGGAAATGTCCTGGATCTGCTTTAAACATTTCACTTTCTTCAAAGGGCAGCCCCTGCTATCAAGAGTGTAGAGTTTAGGGGTATGAAGAATGAGTTCCATAATTATATTCAATTTCAAATTTGATGCCAGAACTAAGACACTGAAGGCTCTAAGTCTTCAATAAGATGACTCAAAATTTAGACATCATCCAGACAAAGGCCTCCACACATCAGTCAGCTGTGATTCTGTCTGGGACCACTTGAGGTAAATACCTGAGTTCCACTCAGTCTTCCTGCCACTTTCTGGATCCTTTACCTTCTGTGAAAGGCTGCGCCCACCTTGATGTCCCAGGCTGCTGCTCCGTTCCTACCACTAAGGCCTCCTGCTTTTAAGGGGGAAAATGGGGATGGATTCAAGTGACTTGTGCCAGAATTAATACAGCCAGTAAATTTAAAAAAAAAAAAAAAAAAAATCTCTTTGTTTGGCACAGTGTTTTACCTTTATTGGGAATACAGAAACACAAGTAACTGTGCGTATATAAGCACTAAGTAGATGAGGTTAAAGCACTTTTCCCAGTCTGGCTTTAATTTCATTTTCTGGTGTTAAGTAAAGTACTTGATTATGTGAGTACTGTGAACCATCCCTGAGAACAGCCTTATATGCAGGACATTCCAATTTGGAATTTCATTCCAAAAATCAACGTATGAATTGGGGATTATTTTAAATCTTTCTTGCCAGGTGTGTTTCTTAAACTAATTTTCTTCCAGCAACATGATCTCGGGTATGGGGCAAGATTTTTACGTTGCCGTCCATTCAGACAAAGACCATGGAGCGCTGTTACAGTGGGGACCTGCCACAGAACCACCACCCCAGCTTTGGGTGGTTGTCCTGCACCAAACCTGGTTTCTGCCAAAGGAAACCTCTGACCTCCCTGGGGCATGGGGTCAGGAACTCCCACAAAAGCAGAGCAGGAGCAGTTGCTTCTCCTCACCCACCAGCAGGACCTGTCCTCACCACAAGGTGACACAAAGGAGGGACTGTGCGTGCAGGAGGAAAAAGGGGGAAGGAAAGCTGAAGAAACATAGGCTAGACCTGCACTCACTGTCACCACCATCACCACACCCCTCCAGCTGCTGTCATTTGAAACTAAGGGCACAAGGCTGCACAGATTTACCCCTGCCAAACAAACACCCTCACATGTACCTAGAACATGGCTGGCCCAGTACTGAAAAAGACTTTTTACCATTTTGACTTTAAGCAGAGAACCCTTGAGCAGCAAGGGAAACGAGGCTGCATTTTAAAGTGCAGGTCCATGCATTGCACTGGAAAAGAGGCCACAGAAGTGCATACATGAGAGAGAGAAAGGGAAAAAAAAAAAAAAAAAAAACAAGGAAACAGGCAAAACCACAATGGTGTTTTAAGTGCTGACAGCAGAGGGAGAGGGAGGCCCTTTGGCACAGCAAGATGAAAAAAAAAGTGATGTGTTTTCACTACAAGTTGATTCCTGCTTCTTAGTGGCTTCTCAGAAGAAAGGAAAAAGCCATGAGGTTCTACACTGAACACTCAGAGGACAAGAGAGGGAACAAAAAAGGACCTGAAAATATACTGAACACCCAAGGTTCTGTGCTATGTTACATCCAGAGCTCTTTTGGTAGTAAATTAAACTTCTTAGCAAGAAAAATACTAATAAAGGTGCAAAGTAAAACAAAGCTAAACACGAGCAAATTCTGATCACACAGCCTTAAAAAAATAAATACTTAACCTACAAATGTGGACTTTCAAGTAGACAAATTGCAAGACTACTATTCCAGAGTCAAACTTTGCCAGTAGCTGCTGCTTTTTTTGCTCTTACTGAGGAGGGCATTTCTTGCCTTCAGTGGCAGTGCAGTAATTAAAATCAGAAGTACTTTAGACTATTTAGATTTGTCACCACTGTTTAGTAAATCAGAGTTAAACATTACAGCAGATTAATACAACCCATTTTGCCCCCCTTCCCATACTCCACTTTTAAGTGACCCAAAGGCATGGTTCCATTCAGAAAAATCTTTTTTTTTTTTTCTCGTCTTAGTGACTGTACCAGGAAATGACGCAGCTGCCAATAGCTTATCTGACTTTTCAGGCATCACCTGAAATTTGACTTGATTTCCTGGCACAAACCAGACAAACTTTAAATGCAGTAAACATGTTCCCCATTCATGAGATAGAGAAGTTCAGCATCACAGGTAACAAATATCTCTCCTCTCTCATGAAGACATTTTGTGACCGAGCACTTAGCAGCTGCACCCTCCACCCACCCCAATAAAAGGAGCAGTCTGAGCAGTCCCCTTCTTTCCTGGTTCGTTACCACAGCATGGATCACTCAACGTGAGCCTCACACTTAGAAAGCGCCTCTTGACGTACAGTCCGCACGTTCTACCCGTTCCCCTGCTCGTGCCGCGGTGGGGCTTCCCCGCTCCCAGACACTCGGCTGCAGGCTGGAAATGAAAGGTGAGGAAAGAAAGGCAGAATGAACACGCTGAGCTCTGCGCCGCCATCGGAGGATTCTCCACTCACTTTACAAGGACAGCTACGATTCAATTGCATTTCCCTTTAAAAAAAAAGTCGGTCAGATTTTACTTTAATCGTTCTTCTCCCGGTCAACGGTGACACTTTTTCTCCCAGGGGAGCCACCAGCAATCACTGGAGAATTGTGCAATATGTCGTCCAGGTGGGGCTGGAGAGAGACTTTGGCTGGAGAGTCCCCTGGTATCTTACGGGAGGTCTCTATCACTGAGTTTCTCAGCGAGTCATTCATTTCTATTACCTCAAAGTCTGCTTCGTTCCACTCCCCCGCATCCTCCTCATCCTCTTCATCCTCATTAAGCCTGGAGGCCGACAGCAAAGCTTTCCGGTCCTCGCTCTCGCTCACGTCTCTCACGCCGCTCTCGCCGGGACAGTTGGCCAATTTGTACATCAGAGGGAAGAGCAGAACCGTCATTGCCGAAGTCACGACGGCGGTGTACATGACCACGGGAACGTGGTGGAACCTGCCCTGGAGGTAGCCCACCACGGCGGGAACGCACATCTCGCCCAGCGCGGCACCGATGACGAACAGGGAAGCCGACTTCCCCTGCACGACCGTGTACTGCTCTATCCAGGAGATGCCGCTGGGGAAGATGGTGGCCATCGAGGCGCCGTACACGGCGCTGCCAACCCACAGCGACGCCGGGTGCCTGGCGAAGAAGGCCAGGCATGAGGAGGAGGCGGCGGAGCCCACGATGCTCAGCAGGATCATGGTGCCGGGGTACAGGCAAGTGGCGCAGAATATTGCCACTCCCCTGCAAGCGGCAAACGCCCCCCAAAAGACGGAGTTCAGAGCGGCCGCTTCGCTGTCCTTCATCGCGGCGAACACCTTCGCGTAAGTGAACACATAAGAGCCGTAAGTCACCTCCGCCCCCACGTAGCAGAAGAAGAATATGAACAGGAGCCCAATGAGGGCGTAGTGGTATTTGGCAAGCACGTGCTTCTGCAGAGAAGCCTTTGACTTGTCTCGAGCCGAGCTCCCCCTTGAATACAAAGTAAAGAAGCAGAAGGAAACTAACAGAAGGTAGGTCCCTATGACAACGTACGACCACAAAAAGTCTGCGCCAAGATGGTGTTTCAGCGCCGACGTGACCGATGTGGCCGGTGCTGTCGGCACAGACCTCAGCACAGACTGGTTTGTCTTTTCAACTGCTGGAAGCTCTCTGGATTCGGAGCCTCCCAAGGCCATTTTAGCCAGGATTGGAGCCACAAACGCACCCGCGGCAAAACTGAAGTGCAAGGCCTGCATATGTGGCCCAGCCTCTGCTCCCCAGGTATTCAGCACCAGGACATTGCCACCTGCAGAGCAGAGAGAGTACGACTCAGTCATTCCAGGCTGAAACCATACACGATTTTAAGGAAAATAAAAACAAGGCAAACAAAACAGAACCATAACCTATGTTACCAATTCAGTTTGCAGTAACACCAACTGTAGCAAATACAATGATGTTCAACACTGTAGTTAACTGAAATTCTGCCTGAAAGCGCCTTAAATCCACACGAGTAGTTGAGCTTCAGGAGGCCACTCATCACAGCAGCCACAACCAAGAGCTCCTCCACACACACAGTGGCTTAAACCAGTGGCGGTGGCCAAAATTCACTGTCGTGCCAGGGCAGGTTTACGCTGGACATCGGGAAATATTTCTTCCCAGAAAGGGTTGTGAAGCACAGGAACAGGCTGCCCAGGGACGTGGTGGAGTCACCACCCCTGGAGGTATTTAAAAGGTGTGTAAACATGGCACTCAGGGACAATGCTTAGTGGTGGACTTGGTAGTGCCGCATTAACAGTTGGACCTGATGACCTTAAAAGGTGTCTTCCAACTGAAACAACCTAATTACCTTCCTTCACAACTTGCAGCATTTTTCAGCCTTTTTTCAAAAGAGCAAACTTAATACTTATAGAAATGAGAAGCTGTTAAAAGCAACAATGCAAAACGCTAAGAATCAAGAGGCCTCATTAAACAACACTCCCAGGAAACATCAGGAATAACTTGCTTCTGATGCGCTGCAACTACCCCAGCTGCATTCAAATTACTCTCCAGAACTGGAAAGATTTAACAATAATATCGCTGCAAAGACCAAACTACAACACCCTCAGATCAACAATAACGCTAGAAAATAAGATTTGAGAGTGATGTTTTTCATCCCTGAGCAGAACACAGGAAAATAAGAGTAATCAAATTCCTGTGCTACAGCAACCCATCACTCAGCACTGACACTCTCCCAAATGAATTCAGTTACACTCCACTGCCTCGCTCTTAATCTCTCCCCTTGCTACTCCCACTCATGCTGGGAGGTCTCTCTCCCTCAGAGGCCACAATTCTGAGCTGCACACTGAAATAAAATAAATGTCTCAGAAATAAACCTGCCCTGAAGCTGGTCAACAGGATCCAGCAGCAGCTTGCCAGCTAGCAAGTAACCAGAGGCTCCTTCAGTAAGGCAGGAGAGCTGGCACACTGCAGGGACATCCCTGGAGAGGTGCCAGGCAAGTGGCTGCCTGTTGCAGCTTCACCACCGCCTTCCACAGCAACACCACAACACTCACTGCTCATGTATTTTGGGTTGTTTCCTGACCCCTGTCTGCAAGTACACCAGCATCACCCACTCATCTCTAGGCAGGCTTAGGCCTCTTGCCGTGGCCTTGCCTCCTGACCCAAACTGCCCACCTCAGGCAGCCACCACAGACTCATCCTTTCTAAGCTGTGGCTGATGAACTAATTCCTGTGCGAGCTTCTTTTTCATACATCTGTTATGGAAAAAAAAAAAAAAAAACACAACAAAAAAAAAACCCTGACCTCTTGTGCTGGTTTTGGCTGGGGTAGTTAATTTTCTTCACAGTAGCCAGTCGTGGCTGTGGTTTGGATTTGTGACACTGCTGATAACACAGGGGTGTTGTAGCTGTTGCTGAGCGGTGCTCACAGACAGTCGAGGCCTTTTCTGCCCCTCACCACACCCCACCGGTGAGGAAGCTGGGGATGTACAGGAAGCAGGGAGGGGACACAGCCAGGACAGCTGACCCCAGCTGACCACAGGGACATTCTGGACCATATGACAGCATGCTCAGTATATTAAACTGGGGGAAGAAGGAAGCGGGGGGTTCAGAGTGATGGCATTTTGTCTTCCCAAGCCACCATTACAAGTGATGGAGCCCGGCTTTCCTGGTCAATGGTGAAGACCTGCCTGCTGATGGGAAGTGCTGAATGAGTTCCTTGGTTTGCTTTGCTTGTGTGCACAGCTTTGGCTTTACCTGTTAAACTGTCTCCAGCTCAGCCCACAAGTCCTCTCACTTTTACCCTTAACATTCTCTCCCCACCCCACCAGGGTGAAGCCAGCCAGTGGTATTTTTTTTCAGGCTGTCTGCATTATACACAGGCCAAGGACTTACAGTTTGGGGGAAAAGAATAGATTTGTCTTCCAACCACCAAAGTGAGGCTGACCAAGGGCAGCAAACACCCATTAATTCAGGGAGATGGAGGCTGTGGTGCTCTAAGTGGCAGAAAGTGTCCGCTGTGAATCCCCAGATGCCACCTAGGTAGGCAACTCTCCAACACAGCGACCGTGAGAATCCCTCTCCAACACCAGGGCTTGCTCAAGACTCACTCAGCTCCAGCTGGCACTAGTGAACCATCACCCCAGTAGCTTCCTGCAGGTCAGTCATTTAAAAAAAAAAAAAACCCTGTTTCAAGAGCACATGACACTTTCTTTCTGCCTGTAATTGCCCACTGGAACACGTACTGACCTTCTCAAGGAAGCAAACGATACCCAGCTCCCCAGCCTCCTTAAAGGAAGGTCTGTTAGAGAAACACAAACACTGGAAGTCTTGGGACCAGAATAATCCAAGAATCCCAGCCAAGTAAAACAGCTCCCCTCTTTTAAATCAAGACGTGTCACACAAATGCCAGCAACAGTTTTGTTGAGCTTGAAGCTTCCAATTAGTTCAGTGAAGGAACTATTGGACCACATGGTCCCTTACCTGTGTCTAGAATTCCCATGGAAGCTCCAATAACTGACATCAAGCCAGTTAACAGCAGGGATTTCTTACACCAGGGTATCCCATAAAGACCAACCGTTGTTGCAGACATGGATAATGCTGGAAAGGTTAAGGAACAAAACAAAAACCCACATAATATAGTTTCCATTTAAAAAACAAAACATACAGAAGACCAAGAAAAATAAATACCTTCATAATTATTACAGCTACAGATAATCCTAATGGGTCATGTAACCTACCTACCTCAATTCATCATTAGCAGAAGCAGCTGGGAAGTTTCACAATCATTTTTCACTTGGGGGAAAACAAAGGAATTTCATCACAATATGAATGCTACATGAAAATCCTGTTTTGCTAAAACTTTATTTGCAAAGGGAGTGGCATCTGCTGCTAGGACACCAAGAAGTCTTCTGCAAACTTTTGATTTGGAAATGATATTTCAGTATCTTCCACAAACTTCTGATCTAGAAACATAACATTACCACAAAAGGAGCAAAACATGTTTTTGAAGAGTATTTTTTCCCCCTCTAAGAGCTATAGAGTATTAAAAGAAACCAAATCACTACATTCAGAGAGACTGCACCTTAGCCAACAGGTGTTGTCCACAGAAAAATGCTGATTTTCATTTACATTCTCCAATTCCTCTGTTCTCTCACAAGGGATACACGCCAAGGGATTTCTGGAGTTTCAAGAGAGAAAACTACAAAGTTTCTCATTGGAAATCTATGTAAATCAATGGAGATTGATGTAATTAAGAACTTGGGTTAACTTCAAGCAAAACCAACAACAACAAAAGAAAATATAAAGATCCAGAACCCTAGCGAGATGCTTGGAATACATGCCCCAAAACATTTCTGAAGGCTAGCACGCTGAGCTGCGTAGGGGAAAAGCTGAAGATGGGACGTATTAAGTACAGCTTCTCAGATGCCCCACTCAGAGTTAAAAAAAATAATTTCTCAGCAAGTTCTTAGTTGTCTACTTCATCTCCATGCCTGAAGACTGGTACTTAAAAGCTTCCTTGACAAGGACAGATGATATCTTCAATTCCTTCTCTGTACCATAGCAGAGTTTCAGCAGTTGAAAGGAGGAGGTAAAACTACACGAGTCAAAATCTCTTACAGGCAACCCTCAGATGACAAAAATGAGAGAAGATGCAGTAGTTCAAATTGTGCTTTTGCCATAAGTGCTACCAAATTGGAAAGGATGAGGAGATGAAAAATTTTCCAAGCACTGCTGACAGACAGATAGCCTGTGTGATACCTCAGGAAAAGAAGCAAATACTGATTTCAAGTTAATACTTGCTTCTGTAAGTGTGTTCAATTCCTCTATGGAAGGTAAAGTCTCAGTGTCAGGCACAGACAACACTGATCTTGTCAGATGTACAAGGAGGCCAAAAGAAACCCCCTTTACAGGTGTTCCAGAGGAGAGGAATGAAGAAGAGAGAGAAGACCAAGGAAAAACATCTCAGAACAAGAGCAAGCAAGAACTACTGATCCAGGAAGATGAAGACGGGCAAAAAAGAGAGCAGAAAGAGAGAGGCATTACATGACCTGGCCACTCCTGATAGCGGGAGACAGGCATTCAGGGACAGAAGAGGCTTATGAGTCCGAGAGCCCAGGAAGAAGAGGAGCGAGCCCTGGTATCTGGTTCAATCCCTAATGTCCAGCACAAAGACACCTACTGCCAGTACTGCACTTGAAAGGAAAAAAACACACAGGACGGAAGGACTATTTTAGGTGTGCTCCACAAACCTCGACCTGAACAAGACACTAACACAACTCTACAAGGAGCACCTAATCTCTGCATGCTGAGCATGGCTCCCAATGACCTGACAGACGAGCAGCTCTGCTCTGCCACAATTAAAGTTCTACTTTGGTTAAGGCCCTCCAGTCAGATTCTCACTACTTTTGTCTGGTATGTGAAAATGAACACTTCTGCTGAGCTTTAAGAAAGGGAAGGGTTCCAGGAAGTTCTCCCCACAGAAGCGTCCCTCAGCGTGGCTGCTGGAGGCAGCCACTCAGCCTCCTCTGTTTGGTTTATGCCTTTCACAGAGTGACATTACAGAAGCCCATATGTTCCAAAAGGATCTATAGCAACCATATCACTTGATACAGAAGGGGGAAAAACATTCCAATTGTACTTTTTCTGTCCAAACCAAAGGCACCTTTTGGCCAACTCAAACAGGTTTTGCCACCTCAAAGCCAGTGACCACTACCAGTGCCCCCAGAGCACCCAACCGCTTGGAAATAACGCTGCAGAGCAGCGATGCCCGGACACGGGCGGGGGCAGAAGGTGAACAAAGGGGAATATCGCGACAGGGAACGGCAGAGCAAGTGCGGTGGCTTACGGGCAAGGGCATCCCAGGCCTCCCCGGCCGGCGTCCACCTGCCGGGGCCCACCCGGCACTCACCGAGGAGGAGGTGGGCGTTCATGCAGTCGAAGAGCACCCCGCCGAGGACCGACCCGCCCAGGTAGCCCAGCGACCGGCCCACGAAGATGTAGTAGATGTCGCTGACGTTCTTGTGGACGTTCGCGGCCAGGTTTTGGAAGGTGGGCCCCAGCACCGCGATGCTCATCCCCTGCAACACATGCGAAAGGCGGGGGGTAGGGGGAGGCGGGAGGTGACCTGGTTCCCGGGC